GATCATGTGGTACCCCCCCGCCAAGTCCCCTGACTCCTGAGTGCATCCGGAGCTGAAGGCGCCTCTGAGAATCCAGGTGAGAGCAGGAACCTGGGGAGGCTGGAAGGTGAGCACCGGCAGGTGGGCACCTGTGAGTGAACCTGGGAGGGACAAGGACCCAAGGAGTAGGTGACATCTTGTGCTGGATGTGGGGAGCAAGCAGGGTGATGGGGCAGATGGCAGGGAGCTGGGCAGGTCCAGGAGAGGGGTTAGGGAGATGGAGCACCCTTGGGAGAGTGGCTATGGTATGCTGTGACCCATCTGGCAGCTGCTGGAGAATCAGAGGCGAGGGCTGGGCACACAGCTGCTTTTATTGAGTGACAAGTTCCCAGCAGAGGGAATCCGGTGCTGTTGGCGGTGAGGACAGCCAGGGGTGTCAGGGAAGAAGAAGGGGCCTCAGGGGAAAGGCACCTGCTTGGTATTTCAGAGCTGGCCTGGTGCTCTAGGGCGGTTGCACAGATGGGGAGTGGATGCCGAAGTTCCGCCGGCATCTGGCAGGGCCAGGGTCACCACGACAGCCTGGATACTGGGATAAGGAAGATAAATCCTGGCAAGAAGCGGAATGCCGCAGGTCAGCCCGGAAGTGTGAAGGAAGGTGGAGATAGACCCTCCTTTTGACAGCAGCGGAGGAGAGTTTGAGGAGGCGCGGGCCCTGTCGGGGAGGCCGCCCCGGCCTCTGCGGCACCTGCTGTTGGAATGTGATCCCTTTTATTTTAGTCCCCATTTTGCATCAAGGTCAGCCGTGTTGACTCAGCAGAGCAGCAGGTGCCACGAGTCATCCTGCCACAGCACAGCTGGGACCAGCGCTGGTTTTCTTGTCTCCCAATTCAAGGATCTTTTCCTGAACTGTAGCTGTTTTAGTTTTCGCGTAAAAGTTCTTAACACTGTGGATTTCAATTTTAAAAGAGCCACCTTGATCATTAACCCTTTGAGTGTTCAAAGAAACTTCTGGAATGAAACGTGGTCTGACATGGACACCTAACCCCAGTAGACTGCTTCCGTGGTCCCCTCGTGATCCCGGCGGCCTTCTGAGTGGGGCGAGGCTCAGCATTGGTTAGGATCGGGTACAGAAAGAAAACCAGAAACAAAGTATCGCAAGGATTTAACTTTATGTGACGTAAAAAGTGAGGGACGCTGGACTTCGTGCGCGCTGTCACCCCAGGTAGGACCAGGCCTGTTACATCAAGAAGCCACATCAGATTTCACTCGCTGGATGATTGGTTCATCGACTTGAACGATTTCTGGGTCTGTCTGAAGTCAACCGGGCAGATGGCTCTGTCTGGTTTCGTGATGAGCTTAGGGAAGAGATCAGTGGGATTTTCAGGACCGTGTTGGGGAGTCTAGCTTTGCCTTTATCTACTGGTGATTGTCACAAGATACTAATTCGCAAATACACAGCTAAGTACACACTGGCCCTACCTGGCCATCCAGTGACAGTGCTAGGGTGCGGGACCTCATGGGAAGCCCCGTGCCACTCAGAAGGCAGCTTTCTGTTAAGCAGGGGTCACAGACTCGGGACCAGCAGGGCTCTGTGAGCTTCACTTGATTCGGGATCCAGGGGCTCACGTGAGGTGTACGTCTAGTCCTGGTTTGCACACAGCCTGGGGGCAAGTGGTCTGTCTGTCTGTGATGGTCCCTGCGCTTCTTCCGAGATGCACCCACCCACACCCTGCCCCACAGCTGCCCGAGCTGCACCCCACAGCCTCCCTCCCGGGCATCACCGGGGCCGAGGATGAGCAGCTGCAAGAGCCAGGGTTTCGGCAGTTCCCTGTTACTCCGCCGAACACATTCATTGCAGTAAATGTTGATGCTGTAAAGACAAGAGTGTCCCATGATTCTGAGGTTTCTCCTCCAGCCGTCTCTCCTTGCGCGTACGTAATTGGGACTATCGAGTATGTGTCCTGCTTCTTCATGTTACAGAGCGTTTCCATGTTTCCGAAATAACAGTTGCTTGTAGCTGCTGCGTCGTGGTTGTTGCGTGGTTTGCGTAATCATTTCTCCCTCACTGGTTCCAGGGCAAATGTCGGACTTTTCACGATGGCAAATGACAGCACCACGCACCCTCCGTGCACCCCATTTCCCCATCTTGCTTCCGGTTTAGGCTTCATTGCTCCCTGGAAGTAGATGTACTGAGCTACGTACATGTACTGACCTTTACACGTAGTAAAGAAGGTCGTGCCAGCTCCTACTCATACAGGATAGAAGTGTCTTTGTTTAGGGCAGGGACAGGCATACCCAGCTGCCTTAGGATGGGGGCTGTCCGCATCAGACCAGCCATGTAACGTAAAGTGACGCAGATCCAGTCAGTCCATCGGTCATGTCCGTGTGACTCTGAACACACAGGCTCCGGGCACTTCCCGGCTTGGCCAGTGCACCAGGGTGTCACAGCCCTGCTGGGAGGGTAACTGTCCGGACTCCACGGAGTGAGGATCCAAACTCTGCTCGTGGTGCTGGGCCCCACCCTGCCCTGGGTGCCTCTCTTCCTGAGTCTTGGGGACGGTCCTCTGCCCTTGCAGTTTGGTTAACTCCAGATATGTTGAGAGAGAAGAGACAACCCATGACAGAACGCTCAAGATCAGCACCTCCCATGTCCTCCTTCCTTGCACACTTGGCCACTTGTGTGTTTACTAATCCTAGACCACAGAGTATGTGGCCTCTGCTCAGCTTTGGTGAGGAGGGGTGGACTTGGCACTGTCCCTCCTCTGCTCGGCTTTGGTGAGGAGGAGTGGCCTGGGCACTGTGCCTCCTCTGCTCGGCTTTGATGAGGAGGAGTGGCCTGGGCGCCGTGCCTCCTCTGCTCGGCTTTGACGAGGAGGGGTGGCCTGGGCGCCGTGCCTCCTCTGCTCGGCTTTGATGAGGAGGGGTGGCCTGGGTACTCTGCCTCCTCTGCTCGGCTTTGATGAGGAGGGGTGGCCTGGGTACTCTGCCTCCTCTGCTCGGCTTTGATGAGGAGGGGTGGCCTGGGTACTCTGCCTCCTCTGCTCGGCTTTGATGAGGAGGGCAGATGCGCCCCCATGAGAGTCCTGCAGCTTGAAAGAGACAGCGTTTCTGCGGAACGTTGTGATTGACGATCTTGTCAGTCGTTTCATTAAAAAGGATTTCAGCATGTGTTTCTCATTCACAGATGTGGAACCCAAGACAGTGTGTTGGGCTCCACCTCCACCGCAGGATGCCCCCCATGCCCCTCCTCCATACTGTTTCCCAGGGCTGCATCCAGGGCAGCCTCCCCTGTTTGCACTCGCGCTTGAGGACTGAGAGGCGCAGCCTGGTAAAACGAGTTCACAGGCTGTTTGCTTGTGTTTCATAAGGAAGATCTTCTCTCTGGGAGGTGCGCCGCACCCTTACATGCCTCGGTGGGGCAACGCTCTGTTGCAGGTTGTTACCAAGCGAGCGTCTTTGCTTTTCCTCTGCTCGGAGGTCTGATATGCTCGTTCTGCAGTGGGAGCAGGCTGGGGAGAAGGAAGCGGGGTGAGACGAGGCTCTGATGTCTTCGGGCTGCATGTTCGCCTCCAGGCCCTGGTTTCTTTTAAATGGTGGGAATCCTTGATGATGCCCATCCTGCCCCACCCACAAAGCTACTGAAAGGTGCTTCTCAGAGGTCCGCCCTGGCCAGCAGCCTGACCATAAAACCTTGATGTTGGGTACACTCAAGTCTCCCGTGTGGAGGTCAAAATTTTTCTTGCATTTGGAAATCTTTGTTTGAGACTTCTGGCATTGTTTGAGCAACAGTGCTGCTTTAGAATATTATACCGATTTCTCATATAATTTCTCATTTTTCTTGTCCTATCACTGAACCTATTTTGAGGAAATAAGACATTATTTTTGTTCCTAAAGGAAAAGGCATTTAGGAAAGAGCATGTGCTGAAGAATTATATTAAGAAGCTGGCTTAGGCTGGGCATGGTGGCTCACGCCTGTCATCCCAGCATTTTGGGAGGGGGAGACGGGAGGATCACTGAGCCAGGAGTTCCAGAACAGCCGGGGCAACACAGCGGGACTCCAACTATAGCAGTTTTAGAAAAGCAGCTCACTTGACTCAGCTGCCCTGGATTCCTGACCCACAGCCTCTGAACGTTATTCCCATGAAGACGGCGCCGTCACGTGGGTCCCCACAATGGGAATCACTGATCTGCTCAGTGCTCTCAGTAGCGGACTCATACTCATGGCTCTGAACGTGTGGCGTTTGGTTTTCCATCCTGAGTGACTTCATTTAGAATGATGGCCTCCAGCTCCATCCCGGTTCCTGCGAAAGTCATGGTTCGTCCTTCTCACAACTGAGGAGTGGTCTTTGGTGCCGCCCGCCCCGTGCCAAGCGCAGCAGCCTCCTCCTCCCACTCCGTCGTGTTTTCTCTGTCATCTGCCGTCACTGGGCACCTCTCATGTGCTTCTGCGTGTGCCTGTTGCCTGTCGCTCCCCCGAGACCTGGCTCCCCGAGGACAGGGCCTGGGCACGCGCTGGCAGTCCCCACATCTCTGCTGCAGCATCAGCCGTGGGTTGAATACATGGGAGTGAAGTAGACCTTGTGGGCGAGACTCCCCCCCGGTGTGGACCATGCGCCTCCACAGCATTCGCAGGCTGAGGTGTGGGCCTGCGGAGCGCGGTGCGTGGGCCTGGGGAGCGCCGGGCGTGGGCCTGGGGAGCGCGGGGCGTGGGCCTGCGGAGGGTGGTATGCACTGCTTTCAGCACGCACCACGGACTGTCCAGTCAGCGGTCCATGGGAACCATGGGTGACCAGCTGGCCTTGGTGTGCACGTCTGGGGATATGGGAAGCAGCAGCCTTTTTGGAGGTGTGCGGGGAGGGGGAAGCTGCAAATGGTGGTGAGTTTGATTCTCCTGGCTGCGCGCACGCTGAACCTCTGCTCAGAGCCTTTGGCCACCGGCGCCCTTTCTTCTTGCAAGCTCTGCTCCATTACCTGCCCTCAGAGCCATGGCATCACTCATGAGAACGTGCCCTGTCTTCTAGAATCCCTGGCCGCCTGAACGACAGGAGGACGCCCCTGGGTGAGCTGAACTGGATCTTCACGGCCATCACAGACACCATCGCGTGGAACGTGCTCCCCCGGGGTGAGGCGCGGGTCGGGCCTTGGGGAGGGAGGCTATGGCCTTGGGAGCGCGGGGAGTGACTCTCGGACATGAGAGCAGTGGGATGGGATCAGTGAGGCCTCACTGGCAGGAAGACAGTGGGAGGGGCTGAAAAGGAGAAGACGACCACCTAAGGCGGTTTCTGCTGGCAGTGGTGAGTTCCAGGACACCAGTTCTCCCCACAGTGTGGAGAGACGCCATGTCAGCATTTGCCCTTCACCGGGCAGGGCGGCTGATCTATATAGTCATCAGCATTATTCACATTTGCTGAAAACCAAATGTGAATAGGACTCGTTCATATTTTTTGTGTATTGATTGGTTGATTTGGGGTGTTTGTTTACATGTATGTATATGTGCACTGTGTATGCATATACATGTGTGCATGTGTACACGCATGTGTATATTTGCATATGTGTGCACATGTCTGCGTATGCTTGTGTGTTCATGTCTGTGCACATATATGTATATATCTGTATACGCGTGTGTGTGCATGCATGTATATTTTGTGTGTACGTGTGTGTGTTTAAGCGTGTGTTGCTGTTGGGAAATATGCATATTAGTCCCGACTTGTTTTTAGTAACTTTTGATGCAAGTGAATGTGTGTTGATGGAATTTTTGATGGAAGTGAATTTGGCTTTAAATGATAGACACAAATCACTAAGGACTTCTTTCCATCTTGTCTGCCCTCAGATCTCTTCCAGAAGCTCTTCAGACAGGATTTGTTGGTGGCTAGTCTGTTTCGAAATTTCTTACTGGCGGAAAGGATCATGAGGTCATACAACTGCACTCCCGTCAGCAGCCCGCGGCTGCCGCCCACCTACATGCACGCAATGTGGTGAGTGTCTCGGGTGGGGTCCTCCGGGTGCCGTGCTCCCCGCCCTCTGCCCCACTTGATCTCATGGAACTGCACAGAGCCGGGCAGGGACGCTCCACACCTAACCTGGGGACCCTGTGTGTCATTAATAAGTGATGCTAAATGCAGTGCTCCTGGAGACCTCCACGCGGAGGAGCGGGGGTCTCCTTCTGAGAGCAGAAGCCTGGGAGGGCCTTTCCAGACCACACGGGAGCAGCGCCGGCTGCAGCCTCACGGCTCCACAACTCGGAGGGCGGCGCTTTGTAAGAGAGTTTCTAACCCTTTAGAAACCAGTGGTGAGAACATAACTTGCTGACTTGAATTTATGAAGCGCATCCACGATAGCGCTGGAGAATTAAAGTGTTGGGCGCATGACCAATTAGTTTCCATGCTTATGTCTCACACACACACGCTCACGGGTGTCGTCTTCCATGACTGCTGAGTATAGTCTTCTCTCATTGCGGAGTTGCTGCTGTTCATACGGCCACTAATAGTAGTGACGGTAACGGTGGTGGGGTTGGTTTTAGTCTAGACATTGTATTTGAAGACATTTGGTTTCTTTCTGTTCTGTGGCTGTCCTAACAGAAGCAGGTTTGCGCAAATTCTAAAATGGTATTAAAGGAAAAATAGGTCTGTTCATCAGTGGGAGAAACCCTCACACAAATATTTTTAAGCCAGCAGTTCACATATGCCAGCTCAGAAACCACTGTGTGGCATGTTTTCATGATCCGGTCTATTTTAGCCTGTGTTTTCTTCTTGAATGTCTACATGACCACTTTCCGTCAACACAGGAAACCCAGAGAAGCAGGAAGGAAATCTAAACTCACTACCCATCGCCTACTCCAGAAAAGTTCCAAATAATCTAATTTTTAATGGTAGTAAATACTTATATGAAATAGATCAGTATACATTATACCCAGCACAGCACTTGGACTTTAAACAGAAGAAGTTAAAGCATGCATGATCTGTGTCCTCTTAAGAGTCTGTAAAATAAAACAGAGAACCTTGATAAGGAAAAAAAAAAAAATAGAAGTAGACCATTTAAATAATGTGTAAATAAAACCACCACAGACGTATTTCTCACGAGTCCATAATAACAGAGCTGGAAAAGAGAGAGTTGTTTGAAAAGCCTGTGCAATACTTACAATAAATATTTATTTATTTATTTATTTATTTTTTTTTTTGAGACGGAGTTTCACTCGTTACCCAGGCTAGAGTGCAATGGCGCGATCTCGGCTCATTGCAACCTCTGCCTCCGGGGTTCAGGCAATTCTCCTGCCTCAACCTCCTGAGTAGCTGGGACTACAGGCACGCGCCACCGTGCCCAGCTAATGTTTTGTATTTTTTTTTTTTTTAGTAGAGACGGGGTTTCACCATGTTGACCAGGATGGTCTCGATCTCTTGACCTCGTGATCCACCCGCCTCAGCCTCCCAAAGTGCTGGGATTACAGGCGTGAGCCACCGCGCCCGCTTAGAATAAATATTTAAAATGAGCATTTTTTTGAATAAATAGTTAGAGCAGTTTTGAAAGAGTATATTATCAAAATGGCCTTATTTCTTTAAGAAAAGTACGGCCTTAAATCCTGTCTCTGTTTCTTCTGAGACAGGTTTTTGTAATAAATTTATTATAAAAAGGGAAGGAGAAAGACAAAGAAAAAAGGAGCTGAAGGGTCAGCGCCGCATAAGATCCCGGGTGAAAAGCTAGTTCAGGGCTGGGAGCCGGCTGAGTTCTCAGAGCGGGACCTCATGGGGTCTCCGGGTTTGCAGGCTCCTGTGGGTTCCTCTTACCAGGAGTCAGTCCATGGAAACCTTTTCCTTCTGGCGTATGCTTTCTCCAGATGTAAAGGCACCGCCTATCTGATGTGCTCCGCTGCGTAAAGACAGTGGCATCACACTGGGGTTCCTGGTCAAAGACCGGAGCCCGAGCACAGAAAGCAGCCAGGAGGGTGGGCAGCCGAGGACGTGTGCTGGGAGGAGCGCATGGCGAGGCCGGCGCAGGACAGCCACATCCCACCTCTCCATCTAGAGACTGCTTTCTAGTACTGGCCCCTGGGAAGCTTTCTAGTGCCGGCATTTATATCTGTGCTGCCTTATAGAATGTCCTAGTCTAGGCCTAGCTGCAACCTCTCCCAGCCCTGCGGGGCCGCCCTTCCCTGCCCGGAAAAGGCCGGCTGTTCTGCAGACTCGGCTCCCTAGAGCCTCACGGAGCCAGCACGCGTCGTGCTTATTTGTTGCACTCGAGAATCATGAGATGAGGTCGCAATCCACAGAGGCCCAGAAAACCTGGGGACAGCATCGCATGGGTGCTTGGCGGCCCCTGCTTCCCGACGGTCACTGTGATGCTCAGGTTTTTCTGCTTTCCTGGTTCTGGCCTCCCTGAGTGTGTCATGGGCTCTGCTTGGGCTAATGTGCACCTTGAGCGATCCAGCCTCCGTGGCCCGTCATCGGCGCTACGTCCTCTGCTTCCCTTCTGGACACATTATCCGGGTTGTTTCAGGGTGGGCTCTGTGGGAACGGCGGAGACGGAGGCTGCTGTCACGACGCTGCTCGTGAGTGTGCCGGCCCTGGGTCAGCGGTAGAGGGCTGGGCAGAGAGAAGCCAGGCTCACCTCCGCCGGCCCTGGGGAGGCCTGAGGGTGGGATGGGAGGTGAGTGGGCCGGCTTGCATTCAGCATTGGTCACCAGACGCAGGCCACCCAGAAGAGGGCTTGACAGCCATGAGCTGCCTGCTTGTGGTGTCCCCAGCAGCTGGGGCAGGAAAACCTTTATCCTGAAGGGGGTCCCGGCCCCCTCCGTCACTGTATCTTACTGTAAGAGAAAATCTCGCCTGCCTGACCTGGGGCTGCTGTTACCCCCAAGCCCCATTTCGATGAGGCCCTTGAGGATGAGGAAGCACAGCAGACGTGCCCCTCCGCAGGCGCACGGCCCACCTGCAGGAAACACATTTCCTTCCTCACCCACGAAAGTGACCCTTCCCGGTCGGCCATGCAGAGCTTGTCACCAGGCCATGCCTAGGCCTGCGGCAGTGACCACAGAGCTAGACAGAAGACAGCAGCCAGGAGCGTCTGGCCACTGGTACAGCCACTGCCAGCAGCTGGAGCTTCCCGCCGGCCCGGGTGCAGTGGAATGGACTCTTCATGTAGAATCACAGCGGCGACCCCTCAGTTCCAAGGCTGGGGCAGGGTGGTCCCTGGCACCCTTCTGCTGGGTGTCACTGTGTCCCCATGGTTCGGTTTGACGGACATCGCAGATGAAAACTGAAGAAGCAGGCCGGGGTGGTAAAGGGCAATGCTCCTCGGGGCTGATGGGGGTGCCATACTGTCGCCGCTGGACATTGGGCACACCTGCAGACTCCACCAGCCATGCGGCTAGAACTTGGCCTGTGGATGCAGATGGCCTAGAACTTGGCCTGTGG